GAAGCCTGCAATTTCCAGTGCTTTGAAGTTTTGCTAAAGGCCCTGTGCCACATCCCGTTCGAAAGCGCCAGCAATGTCCAGTGCCACCACACAGCTGACTTTTTGGATTCATCCAGTGACTGGTGCCACTTAGTGGAAGGTTTAGCAACAGATCAGTTCAGCAGAGTAACCTTTCGACCATATTGACGATCACAAAGTGAGTGAGTGGTAGTCAAAAAAATCTTCAATTGTCTTGAGATTAATTGTTTCAAGATCTTACCAGTGATTCGACAGAGTGACACTAGTCCTGTAGTTTGGCTGATTCTGCTCAGCTCTTCTTTTTGTGACAGGGACTACATTTGCCTCTTCCCCAATGAATAGGGCCATTTACACTGACAAGACAGTGCTGAAAGATGCGAGATAGAGGTGCTGCTAGCAGGATGCACATCTTCTCAACAATCTTGGGCTCAACATGTCTGAGCCCACAGCCTTATATGGACAAGTGATTTAAAGAAATGCACCTCCTCCTGCGTATTTTCACCACTGACCGTTTTTGACACAGTTCTTGCAGCTAGCCAAGGAGGGTCCCTTGCTGGATCAGAACTTGCATTTTTATGTAGCAAAGTGTCAGCAAAGAGGTCCGCCTCTCTGACAACTAGTAGAGGTGGTCCCATCCTGTCGATTAGAGGTGGAATAAGTTTCATCAGGCAGATAACCTTGTCTGTCCTTGACCAGACCACCAGGTTTTGGAGCCTACCCTACCTGATGCTAACATTCTTTAGTGTCCACCTCCCATCTAGCAATGGCCCCCTTTTGAACATCACCCATATGCCCTACAGGCTTGCATGTGCAAGTTCCTGTTATAGGTGGTAGGATACACTTATACCTTCGCCATGCTTTGTACTTAAGGGCAGTAACACCTCTCTACAAACGAAAGGCCAAACCAAGCTGATCTGTAGCTTTTGGTCACATATTGCCGGTGAGGAATGTGTTCTTGTTGCAGATTAAGGTGTGGTCCAGAGAAGGCATTCACTTGGATGTCACATCCCCCCTGGAGAAAGCATTCCATCGTGGTTGGCGAGCACAGAGCAAAGGCTGGCCAATTACCTCTTTCCCATAGCCAGGTTGTGCGTGTGGACTCCTCACCGCGTCGTTCCTGTGGAACTTAAGGTGAGGTAAAAACAGCCTTGTGGTCAGACGACATCCAACGTAGCCGAGGGTTGACAATGACTATGCCTTCTGCCAGATCACTCACTATACTGTCAATGGAGGACCAAGATAGAGTATGGAATCAACAAAGTTTCTCATGTCAAAACACTGGCAAGAAGGTCATCAAAAAGTTTACCCTCTCTGTATAAGGTTCAGGTTGAGGACACCAACCTTAATAATAGGTTGGACAGTTGTGTTGTAGCAGAAGGGAGTCAATATTTTCCATTAGGAAGTTGATAGGGTCTGCATGTTTGCCACTGAGGTCTGTATCATTGCACATTCTAGAACATAGGTACGAAGTTAAATTATACAGAGCTTGAAGAACATCATTTTCAAGATGGTGTAGGGGAGGCAACATCTATGTGCTGGCATGAACCTTTTAAGAAGCACACAGCAACACCACCATCCTTCCCATGCATGTCTGCTCTCATCCAAGAGGTGTAGCCAGCAAATTCTTGCATAATTTTTCTGAGTCCTGTCATCCAAAAATGTTTCAAGCACCAGCTATCCAAGTCGGGACGTCGAGTGTTCACAAGCAATGAGTGAGCTCTCCAACCTTAGTAATGAAAACCACTAATGTTGGCCTACCATTATGCTGATAGACTGGCTCCTCATGATGAAGTGGTCAAGCTTGAGGTGGTGTGGTGTAGTGAATTGTAAGGTGCCTGCCCTTGAGAGAGGTAGGGTACCTGATGCACTGCAGGATGTAGGTCTGAGGTCGTGATATAAGGCCCAATCCCACTGCTGGGCTGGATCGAGTAGCTAATTGCGTGACGGTGTGAGAGTGTTCACCAATTCAGAGAATCCTGCTGGTTTGTTCTGATAACATGTCTCTAAACAGGTGGCCCTGTCTGTCAAGTTCCTTTCTACCGACACTGGACCTCCTTATGTCCCTTTCTGTAGCAGTAGTTACACTGGTATCATCGCAGGCAGTGTTGGCCAGAGTGCCCCTTCCCGGTGACTAGCGAAGCACAGCCTAGGAGCCTGGGAGGTAGTACTCGGTTTGTTGCACCTCCTGTGACCGCAGAATTTGACCTCAAGATTCTGCCGTGGAACATTGTAATGGAGGGTGAGACGCTGAAAATGTCTTCCTCCCTCCACGACCTCCTCCACCGTCCTCTACCCCGCCCTCTACCAGTTCTACAGATGTGTCCCTCTCTGTCTGTCTCTCTCACACTCTCTGTCTGTCTCTCTCTCTCACTCACTCTCTGTCCTGTCTTGTCTCTCTCTCTCTCTCTCTCTCTCCTCTCTCTTCCTCATTCTCTCTCTCTCGTCTGGGTCTGGGTCTTTCTCTCTCTCTCTACTCTCTCTCTCTCTCTCTCCTCTCTCTCTCTCTGTCTGTCTGTCTGTCACTCTCTCTCTCTCACTCTCTCACTCTCTGTCTGTCCTGTCTCTCACTCTCTGTCTGTCTCTCTCTCTCTCACTCAGTCAGTCTCTCTCCACTCCTCTGTCTGTCTCTCTCTCTCTCCACTCTCTGTCTGTCTCTCACTCACTCTCTGTCTGTGATCTGTCTCCTCTCTCTCTCTCTCCGTTCATCTCTCTGTCCTCTCTCTCTCTCCTCTCTCTCATCCAATCTCTCTCTCTCTCTCTCTCTTCTGTCTGTCTCTCTCTCACTCTCTTCTGTCTGTCTCTCTCTCTCCTCTCACTCTCTGTCTCTCGCTCTCATCATCATCTCTCTCTTCTCTCTCTCTCTCTCTCTCTCTCTCACTCTGCAGTCTGTCTGTCTCTCTCTCACACTCCTCTCTCATCTCTCTCTCTCTCTCTCTCTTCTCAATCCCTCTCTGACCTCTCTCTCTCTCTCTATCTCGTCTTACTCCATCAACCTTAGTCCATAGAAACTCCAATAGATTTGTGACACAGCATTTTCCTTCTCTGAAACGTACTGGATGTCATTTATAACTTGTTCCTTTGTTTAGTGCTCCACCACTCTCCTCCTGATAATCTTGTCCATTGACATTGCATACTATACACATTGATACACAGGTTTGTAGTTTAGTGTCCTCTTGTTCCTGTCTCCTTTCATAAAAAATTGTACTACATTTGTCCCGTCTTCCATACCTCAGGTATTGACCAGTTTCAATGGATGTGTTGAAGATTATAGTGGCACACACACATCTCTGCTCCCCTCTATAGGACCCACGGAAGAGAAGTCTGACCCTACCACCTTTGAGGTATCAAGTCATGTAGCACTTTCTTCACCACCTCCTCGTTGTGTGTATTTCATCTCCAGCAATTGTTGTTTATAATCTCTTGTTGGTGATACCTCCCTATTTTTTGCCTTCCAGAGCTCCTTTTCTGTCTCCCACTGTAAATAACTTTAAATCTCATGCATGATCTCCTTGCATACCTCTTGCTTGTTTCTTCTTGTGATCTCCCCAAACCTTCCTCCTTCCTCAGCTGATTACTACCTGGTCCCTTGACTGTTGTCTTCCTCCTGATGTGGCTGTACAACAGCTTCGAGTCAGACTTTCGATGTTATGTTGCTTTCATATCGTCGCTGGGCCTCCCGCCTTACCTGTGCATACTCGTTTCTGGCTCTTCGACTAATCTGTTTATTTTCCTGGGTCCTTTGTCTTCTGTACTTTTTCTATTCTCTAGCACACTTAGCTTTTGCCTCTCTACACCTTTGGGTGAACCAAGAACTTGTTCTGGTCTTCCCATTATTTATGTTGCCCTTGGGAACAAACCTCTCCTCTGTCTCTTTGTATCTTGTTGTCACATAGTCCATCATTTCGTTTACTGATTTTTCTAACAGTTCTCTTTATCACTGAACCTCCTGCAGGAAGTTCCTCATGCCTGTGTAGTCCCCCTTTTGTAGTTTGGCTTTTCCCATCCTACTCCTGTTACCCTCTCCACTTGTAGCTCCATGTATTCAAAGGTCAGAACCACGTGATCACTAGCTCCGAGGGGCTTTTCATATATGAAGTCCTCAATGGTCTGCAACTACTCAAGGCGAATATGCGTCCCAGTATTGCTGGCCTCATCCTCACCTCTCTCTCTAGTAGAGTCCCTAACATGTTGATACATATAGTGTGTGTGCGCAATAAGATCACAGTAAACAGGTGATATCACAATATGCAAAACAACTACTGTGAAAAAATAATGAAATTCCGTGGGCTTTACAGATTTCTCACATTATCAACACCTGTAATAATAACAGAAGAGGCAGGACGCTAAAAAAAAAAATAAATTAAACAAGTTGAGCAGTGAGACATATAGACTCCAAGTTAATCCTCTGTTTCGCCTAGAAGTAAATAACGATATACTGGCACCCTGAAGTAGCAGTAGCAGTGTACATAAAATAAGATGGACATTAAGTGGAGCTTGATGTACGATGTTCAAGTTTTCTTTGCTTGAAAGTGAATAGCTAAATCTAGTAGAGGGTGGGGAGCACTAGGACACTAACCAGTGTAGACACCTTCCACTTGGACCCTCTCTCGGAATGAGAACCACTAGGACACTAACCTGTGAGTGACAAGACACCATCCACTTGGTCTCTCTCTAGATGAACCACTATGACACTAATCTTGTGGGCACATCCACTGGTCTCTCTCTAGGATGAGACCACCTAGACACTAATCTGTGGGGGACACCATCCACTTGGTCCCTCTCTAGGATGAGACCACTAGGACACTAACCTGTGTGGGACACCATCCACTTGGTCTCTCTCTAGGATGAGGCCACTAGGACACTAACCTGTGTGGGACACCATCCACTTGGTCTCTCTCTAGGATGAGACCACTAGGACACTAACCTGTGTGGGACACCATCCACTTGGTCCCTCTCTAGGATGAGACCACTAGGACACTAACCTGTGTGGGACACCATCCACTTGGTCTCTCTCTAGGATGAGGCCCTCCGCCAACAGGTTGTCTTCAAACACCCTCCGTCGACTGGTGTTTCCTTCGTCCTGGTCCTCTTGTGGAGACGTTAGTACGTAGTCGATGGTCTTGATGCCATCACTCATGTAGAGGCCTCTCTGTGATCCCACCTGCATATCAGAATATTCTAAATACGAAACATAAACACAAATGCTTGTTAACTAACACACACATGGAGGATCCCAACAAGGGGTCGAATTATACAGATTAATTTTCTGAATTTCTGCCCCCGTGTGAGTTATTACTGAGCAGTGACCTTTGTTAATTATACTTTAAGAATCCGTGAGTTATTCATTGTATACATACTACATTTAGCGGTGTGCTACATATGATTTACAGCATCCAACCGATATAATTACTTCATTATATTTAAGATTATTTCACTTGTTAAGTAATAAATTAGCAATGAATTATTTAATTTCTACTGTTTTATGCTGGGTACAGGAAGGCAGCTAAGTTATTATACTCTTTTTTACATGATTCTTGGAAACCATACCCCCGGCCGGGATTGAACCCGCGCGGGCTGGAGTTTTGATACTACTATGAAATGACCGCGGTACAATCCGGGCCGGGGGTATGGTTTTTTGGCAATCGTGTCATTAACGAATTCTTGAGTCATGATTCATGGAATACAGAGCCTGGCATGTATTTTTTAGCTAAATACACACACACAATAACCAACACATCCCACACACACACACACACGACACACACACACCACACACACACAATGCGCATGGAGCAGGGTAGACGTGACCCAAGTAGCGACCAGTGAAAGGTGGGCAAAATGCCTATGAAATCGACCCCCTGAAACCACAACTAGGTGAGAACTAACACACACACACACACACACACAAACACACACACACACACACACACACACACCACACACACAACACCACACACACACACCGACACACACACGATTTGAAGCTGTTTAGGAGGATTCAATCGGAAAGGATCAGTAGGAATTCACAGGGATCTGGAAACAACTACAAGCCTGTATCTAGCAACTGGCTTCCTGGAGTTCAACCCCACCAAGTGCAAAGTCATGAAGATTTGGGAAGGCAAAGAACCCCGCTGACAGAGTAACAGTCTAGGGGCCAGACGACCACAAACCCCTCAAGGAAGGGATCTTGGGGTGAGTATAACACCGAGCAAGATCTACTGATGCTCATATCAAACAGGATAACTGCAGCAGCATATGGGCTCCTAGCAAACCTCAGAATAGCATCTAGACACTTCAGTAAGGAATCGTTCAAGACTGTACAACCGTGTACGCAGGCTCCTATTGGAGTATACAGCCCAGCTTGGAACCCAAACCTGGCCAATCACCTCAAAAATATAAAAATGTGAAGATTGCAAGAAGACTAGTCCCAGAGGTAATGGGTTGTCCCAACTAGACGAAATCTGGAGACAGTATGGATAGGGCGAGCACTGATAACGACATAATAAAATAACCTAGAGAAACCGGCACAAGGGCCACAACAGAGAACTGAAAGCTCAGAGAGTCACAGGGATGTCAGGAAATATTTCCTTCAGGTCAAGGAGACTGTGAGTAAGTGGAACGATCATGGAGATGATGTAGTGGAGGCAGGTTCTATGCATAGCTTAAGATAGGTAAGATAGAGCACATGGAGCAGTGAGAGAGTGACCTAGTAGCGATCAGCGAAGAGGCGGGCCACGAACTGACTCGACACACACCTTCAACACCAAACAGATGAGAACAAATATGTGAGTAACACACACACACACACACACACACACACACACACAACACACACACAAGGGGCCAAAACAAAACAGGGAGCACACTAGACAGAATGAGAGTTTGAAGACATTGAAGGAACTAGGACAGTTGCAAGGACCTACCAATACCGTGGGGGCCAAGAAAAGGTGAGGCTAAGGAAGGAACAAACCAAGAGCAAAGGCCATAATCTAGGGAAGGGACTGAAGGAAGGAACACTCCATGGGAGGAACTAAAACACATCATAGGATGCAATGGGATCACAGTGGAGGTGGGAAAGGGAGAGATCATCTTTTTGGTCTATTGCAAGACGAAGCTGAAGGGGAAATTTAATGATGAAAGAAAACAGGAGGATAAAAAGCGATTGAAGGAACATGAAGGGATAGGCGAGGGGGACATGACCCAGGTGGCAAATTTTCGGAGAACAGGTGGTTCACAAAGAGGAAGGAATGCCTCTCAAAGTAATTTTCAAGGCAGAATCACTCGATCCATATCCTGCAGTAGAAGCATCGGCAGAGAGAGGCAATCAGGAGTTCAAGATGTGTACCTCGATCAAGACAAGAACACAGATGAAAAGAATGATAGCTGAGAGAGTGGCCAAACTAAAAGAGGAATGGGAGGAAAGAAAAAGAAGACAAGAATAACCCAGGCACAGGAGTAAGGGGAAGCACACCCCCCCAGGAAAAAAACACCTTCCAGAAAGACTCCAGCCACACGACACCCCAAGGCAAAGAACATCAAAACCAAACATTCACACACCGATCCTCTGTTCCCACCCCCACACCCCGAACCCTACCCCTACAGCACCCCCCTATGGGAGCTCTTCTCCACCTCACTGCAACCCCCCATGGGCCCCCACGAGGGCCTCCTGCTCTCCCAACCCCATTAATTCCCCCAGGACCACAGTTACAGTATTAGAAACAAAGTTGAAGGTTGGTAGAACAAATGCGGATGGATAACGAATAAATAAGAGGAAAGCCAAGAAAGAATCAATGAGAAGTCCCTGACATCACAGCATTACAGAAACAAAAACTCACGATACACAGAAGCAATCTTCCCACCAGGGATACCAGATCATGAGGAAAGATAGAAGGGCATAGGTGGAGGAGGGTTTCCTGCTGTAAAAAAACGTTGGAAATCGAGAAAATGGGAGGCATAGACGATACAGGATAAAGGGAATACATAGTAGGTACACTTCAGTCAGGGGAGCACAAGGTGGTTCATTGCAGTGAAGTATAATCCACCACAAAACTGCAGAGGCCAAGAGAGGAATATGAAGAAAGCAACAGATCAATGGTGGGACACACTTGCTGAGGTGCCAAGAGAGCTCACTCCAGCAGAGCAAAGTTGCTGGTTATGGTAATTTCAACCACAGGGAGAATTGACAGGGAAAACCTGGAGCCACATGGAGGTCCCAAAACATGAGAGTCAATATGTTGGATAGTGGTGCTGGAAAAACACCTCATGCGCCAAACATGTAAAGGACACTACCAGAGTGAGAGGGAGGATGAACCATCAAGATAGGACCTTGTGTTCACCATGGGCATCACAGACACTGAGGACATTACATATGATAGACCTTAGAAACCAGTGAACCCACGTGGTTCCCGTGCTTTTGAATACATAGTAGACTTGCAAGTGGAGAGAGTAACAGGAGTTGAAATGGGAAAAGGCCAGACTATAAAAATGAGAGGACTACATAGGTTTGAAGGAACTTACCTGCATAGTTTCCGTGGGACCAAGAGATCTGGTAGAAAGCAGTAAATGAAATGATGGAATATGTAACAACAAAATGCAAGGAGCAGTGGAAATTGTATATCCTAAAGGCAAACAGAAACAATGGGAAGACCAGAACAACCCCCCTGGTTACCCCCGACGGTGTAAAGGAGCAAAACAAAGTGCAATATAGAAAGGAAAAAGTACTGAAGGCAGAGAACAACATGAAAAATAGGGAGATTAGTCGCAGAGCCAGGAACGAGATGGCACAGGTAAGGAGGGAGGCCCACGACAGTATGAAAATGACATAGCATCGAAATCAAGAACTGACCCGAAACAGTTGTTAGCCACATCAGAGGAAGACAACAGACAAAGACCGATGTGATCAGACTGAGGATAGAAGGTGGAGAACTTACAACATGATCAGGAGGTATGTGAGGAGCTAAACAGTAAATGAAGGAAGTTTTTACAGTAAGACGGAAGGGCTGTGGTAAGACAGCACAGAAGGAACATCAAGAGGGAATAACCACAAGTGTGATGATCATACAACACTCAGGAAGGAAGGTGAAGAAGCTTCTTAATGCCCTTGACACCTCAAAGGCATGGGACGAACAACATCTCCCCATGGGTCCTTAAGAAGGAGCAGAGTGCTGTGTGTGCCCCTATCACAAGACCTTCAACAACACATCCATTGAAACTGGGCACCTACCGAGAAATGGAAGACAGCAAATGATCCCCATGATTTAAGAAAGGAATTCAGAAACGAGGCACTAAACTACAGACCTGAGTCTCTGACAAGTATAGTATGCAAAGTCATGGAGAAGATTACCAGGAGGAGAGTGGTGGAACACCTGAACGGAACAAGATTATAAATGAAAACCAGCATGGGTTTCATGGAAGGCAAATCCTGTGTCACAAACCTTCTGGAGTTATATGACAAGGTAACAGAAGTAAGACACAAGAGAGAGAGGTGGGTTGATTGCATTTTCCTGGACTGCAGGAAGGCCTTTGACACAGTTTCTCACAAGAGATTAGTGCAGAAGCTTGAGGATCAGGCGCATACAACAGGGAAGGCACTGCAATGGATCAGGGAATACCTGACAGGGAGGCAACAACGAGTCATGGTACGTGAAGAGATATCACAGTGGGCGCCTGTGACGAGCGGGGTCCTACAGGGGTCAGTTATAGGACCAGTGCTATTTTTGATATATGCGAACGACATGATGGAAGGAAGACTCTGAAGTGTCCCTATTCGCAGATGATGCGAAGCTGATGAGAAGAATTAAATCGGATGAGGATGAAACAGGACTGCAAAGAGACCTGGACAGGCTGGACACGTGGCCCAGAAACTGGCTTCTCGAATTCAACCCTGCCAAATGCAAAGTCATGAAGATTGGGGAGGGGCAAAGAAGACTGCAGACAGAGTATAGGGTAGGTGGACACAGACTACAGACCTCACTCAGGGAGAAAGACCTTGGTGTGACCATAACACCGAGCACGTCACCGGAGGCACACATCAACCAAATAACTGCTGCAGCATACGGGCACCAGGCAAACCTAAGAATAGCATTCCGATACCTTAATAAGGAATAGTTCAAGACACTGTACACTGTGTATGTTAGGCCCATACTGGAGTATGCAGCACCAGTCTGG